CTATCTGTCCTATTCTCTGAAAAAAAAAATGTTAAAAATTTTCTCAAAACTCAGCTAGCTCAGGGAAGAGTCCAGCATCAGTCTGCCCTTCACATCCTTCACACCCCCCTGGGGTACTATGTGCGATTCAAGATGAGTAAGCCACCCTCACGGCCCATAAGGAGTATGAGTACAGAAGGGAAAAAGGCACAGGCAAACATGGTCCAGACTGGAGGAAGAATAATTTCTGAACGCCAGGAATGCCCAAACAAGAACTGGAGGTGCTCGGAAACAGAGAAGCAAGAGCTTGCTACCCTGTCAATCTCAGCCTCAGCTAGGTACACCTCTTCACACAGCAACGTCCCAGACTTGTGGGAAGAACCTATCCCCAAGAAAGGCAAGCCAATAGTTCTTCATACAAACAGCAATAATAATAGCAGCAATAGTGATAGTATCATACAAGTAATGGATACGTCCTGGGTTCTAGATTTTCTTCATATGTTAACTCATTTCAATTTTAGAACCACTCTGTGAGACATATACTACACTATCATAACCCATTTTTAGAAGTAAGAAAACTGAGCTTTATTCTTTCTTTCAACAAATGTTTTCTTCAATGTCTATTATGAACCTTATATCACTCTAGCACTAAAAGCCAGATAGACAAACTCTCTTAACCATATGAAGTATAGTGTTTTTCTTGTTGCTGAGACAAATTAGCAACACTCAAAGCTAAAGGAGGAAAGATTTATTTTGGCTTACAGTCTGTAGAGGTTTCAGTTCATAATAGGCTGGCTCCAATCGCATAACAGTGGATGTTGCAGAGGAGAAACAGTTCATAGTGGGCAGAAAACAGCAAAGCAGTGAGGTACTGAAGAAGCAGCAAGTGACAAGCAATGACCTTATTTCTGCCCCTTATATCCTATCCAGGATACCCACCTTTAGGGTGGGCAGCACTCACACCCAGGGCAGGGCAGCTGTAAGTCTAGTATCACACCAGGGATCAATCCCAACATCATATCCTTGATCCCAGCATCTCACACTCTAGATCCAGACACCTCTGAAAAGCCTCACCTATGACTGCATAAGACTTTTGGGGCACATCTAGATATAAGCCATAACATATGCTATGTTCTGGTGGGAGATAGGGTCTTTATTTAAGGAAGACAAGAGTTAAACCCAGCCAATCTTGACTGGAGAACCTATATAGTACTTTCAAACTTGCAAGAAGCAATCTGGTTGGGCCTGGATGCTGCTTCTTACACTCATCATTAAATTTCCTCTACTGTAGAACATGCAGCTTCATTCTCCTTGAAAGGCTAGAATATGACTGTATCTTATAATACATGTTAAAATAAGAAACTCATGAGCTGGAGGCAGGAAAGCAAATCATAGTATAGCTGATACTGTTTTTTAAATGTGGTTTTAGCTGAACACAGGTTATTTGATCACCAACTCCTTTGAATTTTTTTTAACAAATGCTAACATTAAATGAAGTCAAGCTTGAAGACTTCTAACATTACTTCCAAAAATCCCACTACAAAATAATGTTTGAAAAAGATATTATGCATACAAGAGATCTCTTACCATGTGCAATACAATTAAAGGGAGTGGAAATCACAAAATCTCCCAGAACAGACATAGAAATTTCAAAATCAAAATAACTAGGATTCAGAAGACAGTTATAGGAAGTTTTTAGCTATTCAGATCACAGCAATACATGATCTATTAAGGGAACATAAAACTACTGATTTAGCCAACAAAAAAAAAAATATAGACCAGCCAGGTGTGGTGGTACATGTCTGTAAACCCAGCATTTGAGAGGTTGAGGCAGGAGGATCACTGTGCGTTTGAGGCCAGCCTAATCTACAAAATGAGTTCAAGGCCAACCTGAACTACATAGTGAAACCCTGTTTCAAAAAGACAAAAAAAAAAAAAAAAAAAGCAGACCAAACCTATTACTCTTTGATAGGCTTCAAAACTGCACAGCTGGTCTTACAGGTACTGAAGGCCTCAAGAGAATGAATAACATGCTTTATGAAGTGCATCACATAATTCTGAAGTTACACATAATTTCTAAAAAACAAATATTATGCGGAACTTCATTAATGTGAAAAACACCTGAGATAGGAGATTAGGGTGTGACAAAAGCTGGGTAGGAAAGTAGGTGTGACCTATGAATTATAAGATCCCAGACACATGTGTAAAGCAGTTCCCAAAGCCCTGCACATGGACTCTTCTTGAGATCTCAAGAAGGTTGCCAATAGGGTGGCCTAGATTTGTGTTATAGCTTGTGTCTAGATGTGCCCCCAAAGCCTCATGTGGTGATAGGTGGGGCTTTTTCAGGGATGCCTGGATATAGAGTATGCGACACTGTGATTGAGTCATGGTATAATGCAAGGATCACGGGCACTAGGATTAAGGGTATGAGTGTTACCTTTCCTAAATAGCCAGGATAAGACCTGTGGTCATTCCTGTATTGCTTTGCTATCTTCAGCCTGCCATGAACTGTTTCTCCTGTGATGTCACCCTGCCTTGGAACCAACTAATTATGGACTGAAACCTCTACCATGGACTAAATAAATCTTACCTCCTTTAACTTTGGGTGTCCAGTATTTTGTCTCAGCCTTGAGAAAAGTAACAAAGACAACTTGACATGAGGCTGAGGTGTAGGATCTCTGCACTGCTGCTCAGGACCAGGATGCAGAAGTTTTCAAGAACTTCCTTAAGATTTGGACAGTATAAAAGAAAGGCAGGCAGCCAGGAGGAGCTAGTGCCATTATAACTTTCTATGAGAGCCCACTCTGGGTTTCACAAATGCAGTGTGTACTTTTATCTTTACTCTAACCCTCTTTTTCTCTTTACTTGGCCCAAGCTAACTCTGCAGAGCCAGTTGCTCTCCCACTCTTCACGTTTACTTTCTCAAATAAACTCTGCCACTGCTTTTTGTTCGTTTCATTCAATTCTTTGCGATAAGAAGAACTTAGACTCTAACTTCAGAGGGAGAGGTAAGCAACCCAAATCCAGTCATGTTTACTGGTAAGCCACATTTTTGGAAACAAGCTATCTGATAACACACCTACATATTCTCTAAACTCTGCTTATACAGCGTATGTAAGCATATGAATTAATAAGGGCCACTACACACATTTTTCAAGTGTGAATATTTAAACCCACATTTCTTTTTTCTAGAGAGATGTAGCTGACTCAAGCGCATATTTTAAATGATCAATGACATAATATCATTGCCCTTATCAAAGGTGATGATGTCAATTATAGTGATAACCGCCATAAAGCACTTATTAAATACAGTATTTGATGTTTTACACCTTTCATCTCTAATACTCATGACAACCCTATAAAGGAGGTATCCTTAGAATTTCCATTTTACATTTGAGGAAACTTAGGCCCAAACACATCAGCAGCTTCTCAAGGTCACACAGCCAGTAAGCAGAGACTGGAATCAGATCGCCCTGAGTTCAAAGCCCCAACAGACTCCAGGGTACAATGCCCCCCTCCCTAAAAACCTAACCCTCCACCCAGATACAGCAAGCACAGATACACCTTCACTTAGAGAAAATACACTTAGGATCTCAAGCAGGATAAGTCAGCAGGAATTCAGGTAGCAGCAACCCATTTATATGACTGTTCCCATTTTCTCAATGCATACTTTCAAACGCTTTCAAACAAGCCTCAAATTAGCCAGCTGCCTCAATGTTCATGCAGCCAATCAACTGTCCAGTTGTGCTACTCTAGGAGCAAAATCCAGAGATAACAGTAAATAAGCTTGAAAAGAAACAAAAGTTTCTGGAATTAAGGCATGAAGGGGCCTATGTCCCAGCCATGGGCCCCATTTGACCTGGAGACACTATTTCACATCAGTCTTATTGGAAGCAAAGGCCTCTCTAAGCCCATGGCAATCAAGTTTGCTGTACTAGTCACCTTCTGGGGATCCATCTGTGGTCTCAGGACACAGAGTTCTAATAAGGAACTGCTTTTATTCTTGACTGAACTTTCCCACGATGATAGGCCCGGGAACTTGTGAGTTTTTCATTATTCTCTGGACATGTGCCACTGTGCAGTTTCATCGCTGGTGTACAAATCCTTTTCAAGGTTTTTCCTTGCATATACCCTAGAAAAGGACCTCCTGTTTGGACACTAAGAGTGGACTAAGGTATTTAAAATACCCAAGAAATACTTACTGGGCATTTCTGTAGATGAACAGTAAGATAAGGTTCCTGCCAAAAGGGAATGCAGAGTTGCCTATGGGAGATAAGAGTGCTCAGAACCACCTACAACAAACAAGAGGACAAGTGGGAAGTTGGCCTGGCACACAGAGGAGGGAGGGCTTTGCTCCAGATCCAAGATCAAGAGTAAATCTCATCTAATATTAAGCACCTTCAAAGCACTATGCTAGATGTTCTAAAGTGTTCTACATGGTACACTATCCTTCCTAATCCTACCCCCATCCTGTGGAATCTCCTCTAATATAGCATTATTATCCTCATTTAACAAATGAGAACACAGAGAAAAGGGAAAGGGCCTAGCCCAACCCACTTGCCAACACCAGAATTAAGATTGAGATCTGCTGGCCAACACCTAGGTGTATGTTATTTACACCACAACAGATTATATCTCCTGAAGCAAAGAAATTCCCGGTAGTAAAGGAATCTGAACTGGTTTCCTCCTTGTAATATGGAGATAATAGCAATGCCAGCTTCACAGAGCTACGGTGAAGGCTGATTGAAGTGAAGAACAAAAGGACTTATCATAATGCTTGGCAAACTGTCAAAGTGCAATAAACAGAGATAGTTCTGCCATCTTACCATCATCATCTTTCTTCCTTAAAGGCCCAGTGGTCATAAGCCAAAAAGGCCTTTAAATTTTTTGTTTTTCCGATTAAAAAGATTTTTAAAAATAAACATTTGTCTTCCTCTGAAAAACCTTCCTCTGAAACGCAAGTGATTCCTGTAACCTTCTCACCATCAAAGCTACTGCTTGATCAGTGAGCCAAGCCTTACCTTCTCTTCTGAAGAAACAGTCAGTTTGTCACTGGATATCAAGCTGCACACCTGGTCCAAATTCAAGCTGAGAAACTCTTCCCCCAGCATCACCTCTGGAAAGTGCTGTTCTGTTCAAAAAGAAAAAAAGAAAAAGAAGAAGAAGTTAAGACACAAAAGCTGTGACCTATTCCTGGTCCTCTATGAGCCAATGTCAGAATGGTCTGCAGGACTCAAGAGTGCAGGCCTGGGGCTGGGGGTGGGAGTGGGTGGTGGAGGAAGAGGCAGAGACAAGAATCACAGAGTCATCCTGACTAGAGGGAAACTAGCCTTTCAATTCAGCAGCAAAGGCATATATCACCCTGGGTGATCCTGTCCTGAACATCAACACAAATGAAAATGGGGCAGAGAGATCTGAAGATACAGTTTTCTCCTTGTTCTGTAAAATTAATAACAGCCTTGCAGGAAAGCCTCCCGGGGACCTGCCTACATAATTGAGCTCATTTCCCCTCAAGGCATGAACATGGTGCCTCCTGCTGCTCAGTCAAACAAAAATGGGTCAGAACAGTTAGAACAGTCAGAACAGACCCATTTTGGGGTCTAGAAGGCTGGAGGTTTTTGTAGGAAGTCAACAGAAGGAAGTTAGAAGACTGGATCATCCTATCAAACCTGTTATAGTGACTCACTGATCTATGAGTAGACCCAGTTAAGCATCCATCTAGGTGTGGTGGCAACAAGTTGGCCACCACCACTGAGCACAGCCCATAGCAGCCAGCCTGGGCAGCTGTAAGATAAGAAAATCTGGGAACAACTGGAGCAAGACAAAACACACAGGCCTGAGGTCCATAAAAGGAAAATGGGGGAAATTCCAACTCTGACATTTGCTTGGACATCACCCTGCCATTACAGGACATTTTAACCACGATATGTCACCCCACTTTAGAAAGAGAGAATTCAGGTTCCAATTCTGGCTTTGTCATTTATGAGCTGAGTCCTTGAGCCAATGACGGCATCACCTTGCTGGGGTTTCTACCCTTTTTTGGAAAATGGAGGTAACATTTCTTTGTCTTTCTTTGCTCCCAGGAACAGATGAGACTGGATCTGTGCAAGCGTTTTATAAGCCCTTCCAGGTGAGTACACCCAAAAGTGGACAACCTGCCATTTATCTGCCACTTACTGAACAGCAGCTGCACTCCTTGTCCTCCTGCCTCCTCCCTTCCTTCCTTTGGTATCTTTGCTTCACCTTCGTGGCCTCTGGGCTAACTTTAAAGGGCCACACCTCCCTCATACTGAGTGCTACCCCTACTTAGTCAGGATGGACTGCTTAATGAGATGCAGAGTCCCTGTACGCCTAGAAGATGGCTGAAACAGGAAGCCCACTGCAGTTGCACATTAAAATAGAAAACTGAACCATGTTAAGCCTGTCTTTCACATTCACCAGCTTTAAAGCCAAAGAACTTAAGATTTAAATCATTGCTTGAAAAGCAATCATTTTTTTTTGTACTTAAATTATTTCAGACTCAAAGAATTTCCAAGTGAATTCCTGCCTTCATCAAGATTCCCTACATGTTAGTATTTTACTCTCAGAGATGTTATAAACAATTTCCTTCATCTTTCACTGGGAAAAAAAAAGGGTTCCCTACTTGTTCCCCATCAGCCTAATGAAATCACTGTGGTCACAAAAAGCTTTTCCATCCTGAAACTCAGAACTGTTTACACATAAGAAGGCAAATCTAAAAGTCAGATCCTTTATGGAGGGAAGCAATAGTCATAAAATAAGTCTTCGCAAAGCTAGTCTTTGTTGCGTCATATTGCAGTAAGAAAGTCTGTCAGTCTGAGGTCCTCAGGAGAGTCTTGCAAAGCAGCACCAACACCTCTATGGTCCAGAACCACATCTGGTCTTCCAAACTTTATCTATGGTGAAGCAAAAATCTGATGTTTAGAAGAGGGAAGAAAGGGAAAAGGACAAGTGGAGGCAAGAAAGTAAAACTGTGTGTTGCGAAACAAAACCAATGCCTTCCTTATAGTGCAGGAAACCAAAGCGGATTGAGCTTGGATTTTGAGAAGTTCGGTAATGCATATTCCGTAACACATCCAATGAACAAACTGAAAGTAGTCAGAGATAAATGAAGGCAGGAAGTAGTCAGCCTCTTCCATCTTTCTATCTCTTGCCCTGTGGGGCATGGCAAGACTTGAATCCAGGTCCCTTTTTTCTGAAGCAGGCTGTTTCTTTGTCCATAAGGAATATCCCACTGAAACCCATTCAGAAATCCTCCCAGAATGCAGTGTCTGGTGGGGAGGGGGCAACAGGGGAAGTAACAGGTAGCAACTGCTTATCCAAGCCTGGTACCCAGGGACCCAGGGCATTTGCAGGGCACAAGTCGAGGAGACAAGAAAGGGTTCAAGGAGGAAACACACTCTTCCCATCATCATGGAGGCTATGAGGATGGCTGGGAAGAGGACTTCTAAAAGGCAAATATGTCTGGAAGGCTGTGTTGTGGGGCCACTTTTACTACTATAAATGAGACCTCTGAGACCGAAGCAAGCATATATCTCTTAAAACTAAAGCTGTGTATGCCCAGGATGAAACTGAATTCTATTTGGGCATGAAATGTACTTATGTATACAAAGCAGAGAACAACACAGTAACTCCTGGCAGCAAACCAAACAAAACCAGAGTAATCTAGCGAATAAGAACTCATACCACGGAAACAGTGGCATAGTTTGTGCCAAAATGGAAAGCGACTTTCCTGTAAAGGCCACAGAATCTGAGTGGTGCTCTAGCCCTCAAGCGTTTAACTAATGAAAAATAAATAAATAAAAATGGATCTGGAAGTCACAAAAACAAGCAAGAAAGAAAAATGCCTTCTCTTCTTAGTCTGAGGATACAGGTTGAGCCTGTAGAATCTTTGGCCCAGAGCCACTTTTCTGTTAGCAAAATTTAAGAAACAATGATATAGAAAAAAACAGAAGGATCCTGAGCTAATGTAACTTCTTGGGAAATAGAAATTTCTCAGAAGACAGTGTATTCAAAATCAGACTTCTTCACAGTTGCTTCCCAGAAAGTACCCACTCCGCCTCCAGGACATCCTTTTTGTGAATCATCCTTTGCTTTTAACATGATTTTATTTTGTTTTGTTTGTCTTTGCCTTTAATATATTAACAGAGACTCTGGTAAAGACCCTTAGGTAAGACAAGACCTGGGTTCAGCTCCTCTACTTACTTCTTTCCAGACTTCGGTTTCCTCATCCATAAAAACAGAACCATAATGAGAGTCTTGCGAGTGTTTTGAAGCTCACGGATGATAATATATACTAGCCTGTTTTGGAGTTTTTAAGAACCTCTTTAGAAATGAAAGATGATTATTATCAGCCCATGTTCCTCTTTTCGAAAGTCCAGTTCTGGAGATAGCACCACTCCTTGAACTCATGACTTTGCACTTACCAAGCAGGCACTTATGCCGCCAAGTTAAACCCCTGCCCTCGCACCACTCTTTAACAGAGAAGCTTTTGCACAGCACTGAGACATCCTCTGGGTCTGCAGGGATGGGAACTATAAAATTGTAAAGCCTAAGTGTAAGTTCACTGAATTCAATAAACTTTCTAGGGATACAAGTTGTTCAATATCTTACGGCTGCAATTTTCCCATCTAGTAAATGGAACTAATAATAATTATGTATCTTATAAAAGTGTCAGGGGTATTAAGTAAGCAAATACATAAAAACTCACATTGTCATCGTAAAGACTACAAAACACCAAATTTCAGCATTTCTTGTTAGAAGAAAAAGAAGAAGGAAAAGGAGGAGGGAGAAGGAGGAGGAAAAGGGAAAGGGGAAGGGAAACGGTTAGGGGAAGGAGCAGGGAAGAAGAAGAAGGGACCCAAGCTGATGACTACAAAGGAGCCTCCCAGCTCACCAGAGAGCTAGAACTCGGTAGCAATGATTCCAACCCAAGCCCACAGGGCCCGACTGGCAGTAAAGCCTTGAGGAAAAACAAAAGCACGGGAGCAGGAAAATTCAGAGCCATACAGACAACAGCAGCTGTGGAGTCTAGCTAGAGCCTATGCTGCCTTTAGTCCTCTAACAAAGATTTACCGAATATTCACTAAGCACACAGAACTGTGCCAGGTTTCTAGGCACACAAAGGACAGGCAAGGCCAGACCTGGAGGGAGAGGGTTATAGCATCCTTTATTAACCATGGGCTAGCTCCTTCAGAGGAGCTCGCCAATACCAAGCTCTAACTTGATCTTTTCTTTTTCCCTAAAGAGTAGAAACAAAGCAAAAAAGAAGTCAATTAACTAAGGGTTCTGGTTAAGAGTCCTAATTAACAAACCTTAACACTGTTTAAGTTCAAGACCTGCCTTATAGAATACAATTTTTGTATTTCTGTTCATTTACATAACAAATTATAGCAAAGAGAGAGAGGCTCCCCATAACTTCTAGTGTTTTCCCCACTGATCACACCTTTCCAATATTGAGAGGATGAGACAACAGGAGGCACACACCCTTAAAAGTGTTTTTTCTGCAGGCACAGGTGGGTCTTCAGAAGGACACAGGCATGCAGAGGGTTCCAAGGAATTTCTAACACTAGCTAACACAGTGCTAGAAATTTTCCATGTATTATGTCCCCAAATATGCCCAAAAGCTCTGCTGAACTGAAAAATTAATCCTGCCACTTTATAGATGGAGAAACAGAAGCTCAAAAAACCTAAATCATATGCTTAGGTTCACACAATAGTAGGTACAGAGCCAGATTCTGAAACCAAGGTTTTTTGACTATAATAATAAATATTCTGTGGCATTTACTTCAGTCCATAAGATCATAAAAGCCATCCTGAGCAAGCCACTGGGATGAAATTTAATACAGACATTAGAAAACTGTAAAAATTCCTTTCAGGGTAGAGGAAGAGAGAAAGAGAAGGAGACAGAGGCAGACACAGAAAGAACATGAACCTAAGGAACTTCCTTTAAAAAAATAATAATAATCCACCAAACTAGATGAAGAGATATTCTTCAATGGTTACAAAGCCCCCCAAACAGGAAGTAATTATTGTCATAGCCCTAATCATGCTGCTTTATCACAGAAAGCCTCCTGGTCAAACTGTAACTGAGAGTCCCATGAGGGCAGGCAC